GACGCAAGACCTTCTGGATCGTTCTAGCCGTGGCGCTCATTATCGTCATTGGCGCTGCAGTAGGAGGAGGCGTCGGTGGCGCATTGTCGGCAAGCAACAGCTCGCAACAATCAAGCAGCAGCTCGGGAGGATCAAGCGGCGGCGGAAGCGGCAGCAGCGGTACAGGAACCGGCAGCGGTGGTGGAAGTGGAAGCGGCGACAGCAGTGGTGATAGCAGCGGCGATTCTAATAGCACGACGACAACGAATGAGCTGGATATCCTGCCCACCAGTAGCATTGGCGCGCTCAACTTCACAGACTACTATGGCTACGTGAACCACCTCGTGTTCTACCAGCTGCGGTCTAAGAACCTCATGATGTCGTCCTACAATTCTTCAACGAAAGTTTGGAGCTCAACAATTGCCAATAGAGAGAGCACGATCAAGGAGGGTACTCCCATCTCCAACAGCTTGTTCTGGCATAGCAGTAAGGTAAGCTTCCGTTATCCCTTCAGCTACTCAAATGCGTGTGATCAATGCTAACCCTATTCTTCAGGTCCGCGATGTCCGTATCTACTACCTCAACGAAGCGAATCAGGTTGCAGGCATCATCAATGCCAATCCCGTTTACGGCTCGTCGTGGGATAAATCCGGCGTTTCAAACACCTTTACTGCGAACGCGAAGTCAAATCTGCTGTCTAACGGCATCTATACCCCCGACTCATACCTATCGAACCTTGTTCTATATCAAGACGCTGGAAATACCATCCGTGTTCTCCGCCGGACAGGCGATGGAGCGACAGATTGGGCCGCCGTGGGCATATCCACCGATTTTGGAAAGCCTGCAGAGGGTACCGGGATGTCTATGATTCCCATCTATACCAACGCAACCACGAAGAGGATGGCCATGTTCTATACTTCTGAGACAGGCTCACTCATCCATCTCACACTCGTCAACGACAATGACTGGACCAATAACACCTTACCAACCATGCTCGAAACTAACGCGACAATCGCGGCCTTCTCGAGCGGATACGAAAGCAACAACAACCTGGTCATGCACGTACTGGGGGCACAGGCGGATAAAGCACCTGTGCTGACAACGTACGCTGAAGGAGAGTGGACCAACGTGGGAGAGATTTCCACCATGTCCGGCGAGGACAGGCCCTTCAAGATTGCGGCCAACTCCGCTGGGAGAGTCTATGGTCTCGTACAGCGCAATGCTACCAAGGTTGAGATCGTCGAGTGGGAGTGGATTGGTGGTACAACATATAATAAGATTGGTGTGATAGATACCGTCTCATGATTTGAGGAGAGGTCCTATGTGGGTGAATACAAGGTAATCTGGCTCTCGTGATCCCTCGAGAGCGACAATAATAAATACAAGAAACAGAATAAAAACAAGATCAAAACATACTATCTCCCCGATGACCCCAGCCCGTTAAAACTCCACACGTGCATTCAAGACCACTGAGACTCGGTTTTGATGTTGATGCCCACATCGTACGTATCCCAGCTGGCGATGAGACTCGGGAAGTTGAAAGCCGAAAAATCTGGTTCAGTCTTGATCATAGGACAGAAGTCGTTCTGTTGTTGCTGTGACAGCTTCTCAATGTCAGTCTTGACCTGTCCCAAATCGGCTCCACGAAGTAGATCTTTCACAGCAAACATACCATCTCCAGATCCCTCTGCTGAGCAAAGTGCGAGGTGCAATCATTCTGCAAAAAGCCCGGGCTTCGGCCCATGCTGGCTTCCCTTGCCCGGCTAGGGTGATCCCTCACGGCCGGGGTCGGAGCGGCGGGAAGCGGGTCAACCCGTGAAGCACGGGCTGCCTTGCGAGCCTTGGACCGGGCAGCAGCGGCGGCAACCCGCGCTCTGTGCTCAGCTTTGACTTTGGCGACGAATTGTGGTATCGGGTGGGGGCATCGGTCTTCATAAACGTGCTGAAGAATGACAACTTTGTCAGTTCAGTGTTCTTGAAGTTTGTCTTGATGAGATGAGAGGGAAACATGTATGATATTCGTGGACTCACGCGGTGCATGCTGCCTATCTTGGTGAACCCTTTGAAGCATCCAGGGCAGATGGCTTCAATCATCTTGGGAACACGGGGCATGGTGAAGCGGGTAATAGGCATCTTGGCGGTGTTCCTCAACACGAACTGGTTGTACTCGCTGAACATGCTGACTGGAGATTAGATGACACGATAAAGAACAGGGCAGAAGTTCGTCAAGTGGTTAATGATTGACGATTGACTGCGAACATAACCTGGGGTTACCCTCCCTTTTGTCTTGCTCACCGTGGCTGGTAGGATGGCGTCGGGTCAAGGAACTGTTCACTGAACAGCTGCGATGGCTTCTCAAAGAGCTTCCAACTGGGCTCCATAACTATTCGACAGGGTTCAATCAATTTGGGACAGGAATGTCGCAACAGTTGAGTGATTGTCAATGACGACCTGCCATACCAGGATGGCGCGGCAAGCGCGCTTTCCATCGTCTAAGTAAAGCGCTTATTGCTTCTTCTTCCGGGCCCATCGTGTGAGTCTCGCAGTCTGGCACTCGGGGGCTAGGTTCATGTCTTTGTTGGTAGTCAATTATCACAGTCAACGACGCAACCAACACTGGTGTAGGACCCCCTCGGGGCCGAGTCTGGGGGGCCTGAGCTGGTGGAGGGTAGTCTCTCGAGATTTTTGTCAATGTGCGGAGTCCCTGTCACCAAGACAGATGAGGATGAAAGAAACCAAGTCTTACTTCCTCGTGCCCGGAGCTCTGTCAATCGGCGATCCCATGGCGTCCTGAAGTTCGAACAGTGAAAGTGATGTTTGGGGCCTTTGGGCAGAACGAGCCACACCAGGCAAGGTCAGTTTGATAGCATTCTCCACAGCCAGACAAATTCATCATGTCATCGGCAGTAGTGATCAGAACAGTCTCTTTGTGTCCGAGCTCCCAGGCGGTTACTCGGTCAATCGGCAGGTGTCCAACAGACAAGGGTCACCCGTGGCGAGACGGCAAAGTGCCTTCGCGAGAGGACCGCCCACCTTCCTCCAAACACTTCCTCTAAACAACGACATCTGGAAACCTGGAGAAAGGCTCAAGAGCTAGTCACTTCGCCTCGTTTCAGACCAGGGTACAAAAATGAAAGGTTTTGTTCACCATGCGAGGCTGACTATGGCGAGGATCGTCGACTTGTAGCCCCGCGTCCTCGCACTGGAGCTATGAACTATTACCTAGCGGGGTCCAGACCGGAAGACCTTCATGTTGGTTGCACAGCAGTCTGGGCCCGTTAAAAAACCCAGCGACGTTCCAAGCTACGAGAAGTGAGTGGCTCCTGGCCATGATCCTTGTCCAGTTCGCATTAGTAGGAATCCCACGCCGCATGCGACACCATGTGACCTGTCTTAATCCCAGGTGCCATGCAGCGAAGTCGCATGTTTAATGAGCACAGCCCAGGTTCCTGTTCAAATGTTTGTTCCCGGCTTCTCGGGTCTTGAAGCAAACCTCTGTTAGAGAAGGTGAGCGGTGAACAGCGGTGAACCAACGAATAGCAATCATCCCCAATGATCAATACGAGTGAGGACGCCGCCGTATTTGACTTGCCCAACACCTTGTACCAACATCGTATCTGAGCGTGGTATATCACCCAAATCCGGCCCGGCTGCGGTATTTTTCGAATCTCACTAAGCTCAAGTAGGTCGTGCTTGTTTAAATCCTCCAACAAAATCAGCGCTGAATCTTGTCTGCCGAGGTGCGAGCTCCCGCAATATCCGCAGCTCCCGTCCTCGCCCGCGGCCCGCGCCTTTGATGGATTCGCGGTCAGGCGGGCGTCGAATAAACTCCCTTGCATCATCATGCTCACACGTGCTGGGTGGTCCTTGCAAAGGCAGACTGTACCTGGACTAGACGCAGACGAGGACAAATAGGCGCGGGGTCGCGGGCGACTTCTTGGGAACGTCATCGCAATGGTTTCGTAACCGTACTGTGCTCATCCGCGCCTAGACCGGAGCGCAAGGCCGCGCTAGATATGCAGACATTAAGCGGTGAACTGGAAATCGCCAAGGAGTGATTCAACTTCCATTGACCAAATGTCAATCTAGTACCTTTCAACATGTTCGAGTCCAATGAATAGACGAGTGATCAGAATGGTTATCCAATCGATCACTCACCGAAGGAATCTCTGTGTCAGATAATAGCCAGCAACTCTTCCTAAAAACCACGATGTTCGCGCGCAGCTCCGGTTGTCGGCGGATGCCCATCGGGTTGGTGCAGCTTTTGGCCCCAGAACCCACTGATTCGTACGAATAGTGAACCCATGCCATGACGGACATGAAGCATGAGGCATGAAGCAGGAACATACTTGAGCTGTCAGGGCCGCGTCGTCTGTCAGCCTGTCATTGCCTGTCGAATTTCAGGAGAAAAATGCAGCGGACAATCTGCGCCACGGTGACCACATATTCTTTGTTCTACATGCATCTTGCTGCACGACTGTGGCATATTTATGTACCCAAACCGCCAAGCTCAAAGGCTTTGGGAGCCTCCAAGTTTCGGTAAAGCTGGTCCATTCAGAAGATCAAAGATTTACCCCTCCATTCAACATCATTTGGATAATCCACTCGGCACTTTGCCAAAACTTCCGGCTATTCAGAAGGTCACATTGCCCTAATACAAACGGCCTGGTGATGTAGCAATGTGGTCTTTCTCAACGTCAAAATGATTTTAACCATCGGCGCGCTGCCGAGGAGTTTGGGGTTGGCACTCATCTCTCCATTCCATCCATTAACATGACTCCTGGCATCTCATCACGCCTTCATTTCGTCTCGGATGAAAGGATGTATTTTCTTGAGGAAATGCCAATTGCAAGCGCTTTCTATGAGACTTGTGGACATGATAGGACCGTTAAAAGGCGCCTTAAAAGGTCCATGGTAGCGCATTTTACCATTGAGAGTCTCTGATCCCCTTACCTGCAGTTCTCTTCTTGTCCCTTTCAAAGCTAATTCTTGAGAAATAAGTGATTTTCCAATTTACGAACATGCAGCTTACCAAAGTCTGTCTTTCCTTCGGTGTATTTGCAGCTGCTTTCGCGCAGTCCAAGATCAAGATCAGTGAGTTCAAGCCATCAAGCAACAGGCCAGAAGGCAACTAGCTGATAATTTTCGAGTGCCTCTGGGTGACTCCATCACCGAGATAACTTGCTGGAGAGCCCTGGTATGGAACCAGTTTGTCAAGGAGAATCTTGCCGACAAGGTGCAATTCGTTGGCTCCATGACCAACAACCCCCAAAATTGCCGAGCACAGTCTGGCTCTTTTGACCTCCATCATGAGGGCCACTCAGGTTGGCTCTCCATCAACATCGCCAACCAGTACCTACAGGGGTGGCTGGCAAGCACTAAGCCTGATATTGTGCAGTTCATGCTTGGCACCAACGATGTAGCGCAAGGGCGCACGACCAACGACATTGTCGCTTCGTACACGAGGATGGTAGGGTTGATGAGGGCGTCCAACTCGCGTATGAAGATTCTGGTATGGTCTCTTGCAACATCTAACAACTTGCGCGACTGTTGACACGAGTCTTACCTCACAGGTTGATCGCTTGATCCCGTTGTCCTTTAACGGGGGTGGAATCGATACTTTGAACCAGCGAATCCCGGGATAGGCCATCGAACAGAACTCGACCAACTCTCCAATTACAGTTGCAGACTGCTCGAGTTCTGCCGGGTTCACAACCTCCATGTTGCGAGATGGCGTACACCCCAACGATCAGGGAGACCAGATCATAGCCCAGCAGGTCGGTCCATTGCTGATCAAGTACGTCAGGGATCTCATTGCCGAGCGTGGGCTTTGAAATTATCGTACAGGGAGTTTGGGTGATAGTCAACTCGACTGGGTGCTGAGATAGCATATATAGAGATCTGCGTAGCAGTAAGATTCATCTAGGTTGAGTCAGGGTTCGTTGAACTAAGGCACATGTACCTAAGGACGTTGACAGTTGTACACTCAATGCAATGATAGTTGAAGTTGTAGTTACATCCACTGTAGACGCCTAATGAACGTTGATGTAGGGAATCCTCAAGATGTCTCCCCACCAGAAGGCTGACCCGCGTCGGAGTAAGCCACATACAACAAAGGTAAGGTTCTCTATTGGTGAGGAACATGCTTTGTGTAACGATCTGAAGTTTTCAAAGGCAACGAACCTTCGGGTCCACTTTGTCCGCGAGATAGCCTTGGAAGGCTGCCAGGATGACTGAGCGCCGAGAGCCAAGACCGAGAATCGAGCGAGTGTGGGAGTTCAGGCCGAACTCCATATTGAAGAGGCACATCGGTCTTCAATCGATAGACGCTGAGTGACATATATAGAGATAACGTGCACTCATCAACTTCTAAAACCAAGGGAGAAGCAATCGTCCTTTCGCTCAAGTGAGCGATGAAGATTTAGCTCATCCCATCGGGAATATCGCGATCTCCCCGACCCCAAAGGATGCGGGAACTTAGTTTCGTTCTCGCGTTTGGCATTTACACTCGAGCACGGACGAACTTGAGGGACTTCCGGCTACCAGAGTCTAACAATTACTTACCCCCCGAGACGTCTGACATCTGGCTCCCGCTCACCAGCACCAGTCTGTGCTCGGCATGATCCCTCCGCTGCAAGATAGTCTTCCGTAGACAAGGAACTCGCGGACGGACATGGCAAGATATGCGCAAAGTCTGTCGGCCGAAACGAGGGCTTCTTTGCCGAGTAAGAATGTTAGATGGCTTTTAAAGTGTTTGCTTGGTCAAGCTCCTTCGCTAGTGCATTTGGGCACATCCTGCTGTTTCTTTCCCCCTCGAGGAATTGCTTCGTCAACAAACCCATGCCACACAAATCCTCCCTCCAGTTTACATCAAAATTTCCGGCACGACAATGTCAGATCCTCTTGAGCTGGAGCTCGATCGCCCGAAGAGGAATTCCAGAATGATTGAGAAGTTTGATGACGAGATCAAGGTCGCGGGGATGGTAGACCAGCAACCGGTTGTCTCGAGGAGCGAGTCGGTCCAAAGCGATACGTATGGATCATCTGCCGGCGCCAAAACCTTCGACAAGAAGCTCCTCTACAAACTCGATATGCGTCTAATGATTGCCATGTTCTTTTTGAACTTCTTGTCGTTAATGGGCCGCACAAATATCGGAGCCGCACTGATCCGGCAACTTCCACAAGATCTTCATCTCGACGCGATGAAGGTGTTCATCGTTCTCACGATGCCAGCGGCGCCGTTGATCCTATTCGAAGTGCCAAGTAATCTACTTATGCGCTTCTTGAATCGCAAGTTCAACTTCCCATACTTGTGGTACATGTGTGCTCTCGACATATTACTGGGTAAGTCTATATTTGTCACCGAGTCGTGTTATGCGGGGGGTTCTGTAACATTGAAAGCAGAGGCTTCGGCTATCATGACCGAGCTGTGTTCATGTGCATGCTAATGATAAGTACAGGTATAATTACGATAGGCCAAGGATTCGTCAAGACATTCGATCAGATGATAGCCACCCGATTCTTCGTTGGTGTCTTCGATGCAGGTCTCATCCCTGGCTGCGTCTTCTTATGTTCTCTTTACTACCCTCCAAGGCATCTTCAATGGAGACTTGGACTGATTACTGTCGCCAATATCTGTTCAAATATTGCCGGGAACTTTCTTGCATACGCAATCGCCAACATCCAAACCACTGAGAATTTCAAAGGGTGGAGATGGTACGATTCCAACCCCCGCATTATTTTTCGAAACGGCTCTAACATGTCGTAGGATCTTTATCATTGAGGGTATCTTCACTGTGGTAGCTTCTCTGGCCTGCCTTCCTGCTAATGTTGGACCTCCGGAGAAGGCCAAGTTCTTGACGGAAGAAGAAAAGCGACTTATCAAAAATTCAGTCGAAATACGCAGCACAGAGATCGGTGTTGTAGCAGAGTGGAAAATGTTTTTCACAAACCCCCTCAATTACTGCTGGGCTGCCCTCTACTGCTTCACGACTACAACCGCTTACTCAGTTTCCATCTTTTCTCCGTCCTTTGTCAAGTCCTTTCACCCGGAGCTCAGCGCTGCAGATGTACAGGCGCAAATTGTTCCCATCTTCGTGGTGGCTGCTGTGGCATGTCTTACAACTGCTTACGCAGCTGACCGTCTCAACTACCGCGCGGTCTTCGGCCTTGGCGGCTTCATTTTCACCATCGTTGGCTACGCAATCTTGAGGCAAGACGATCACGAAAGCACAAATGTGACCATGATGGCGCTGTACTTCATCGCCTTCGGCACCTTCATCACTCTTCCCATGATCTGGATCTTGACTATGCAAAACTTGCAGACGCCTTTCCAGCGAGCCATTGGGAGCGGCTTTGTGGTTGGAGTTGGGAACACATCAGGCTACATCTCAGCCTGGATATTTAAGACAAGCGACGGCCCGTATTACAAGAATGGCATGACGATCAGCATGATCCTAGTCGTAATTGCATTTGCCATTCTTTCGACAACTTGGCTTTACATCGAGATGCATAATAGGAGGCTTGATAGAGAGGAGAGATTGCATCCGTCTGCGGGAGCTGGAACCAAGAGGCTTGCCGGGCGAAGTTTCCGGTACAAGGCATAGTTTATCGTCATTTTATTACACTTGCAAGACTCCGAAATTCGGCCTGGACGTTCCGAAGCCCTTGGGCGTTTTTGAAGCCCGACACGCCCCTATATTCCATGTCGCCGATCTGAATATGTCAAGCATTTTTCCGACTACTTTGCTCTTGAGCTGTGATGAACTTCCATTTCTAAGTATCGGGATCCCTGTGATGATTGTGCAGTGTTACCTGCCACCACCTCATGCAGCTAGATAACCTCATTTTCGTTCCGAATGATCTCAATACGAGCCCATTTCCAATCAGATGAGGCTGACAACGCATTACTATTTCCCCGCGGGCCTCACTGCGGTGTGACGTCCGGATCGCTGAATCCTAAAGAACCGGATTCAAAAACCCACATAACCCCGATACCCGGTCAAGGGCATTATTCACGTCTCCATTTCACTCTCTCTTTGTGTCACGAGGAATCGACTATTGCCATTATGTTGCCTTTGTTCTGACAATTCAAACTTCCGAGAAAGACATGGCAGTCACGTCCACACTTTACACTCCCTTGGTGGAAACCCATTTCTACTCCACAGGTGGCTACCTGCTCTCCACTGTGTATACCTTGCAGCCACAAACGACACCCTTCACACCGAGAGATAGTACCTGTTCCATACTACCTCGAGCTATCCGGTGCGTAGAGGCCAAAAGTGAAGATATTACATCGGGCTTCACTTGTTATGGTCTACAATTTGTGGGAGAGACAACGACATCGGTACCAACACAATGCTTTCCGGAGAGTTACATAAACATTTGGAGACCTTTCGACGAGTTCAGTAGGACCTCCTTGAGCCATGCCACACAAACTACTATAAGCAGAAAGTTAGCTTTGAAAGGTGTACATGTACTAACAATTTTCGAATCAAGGTGATATCCCGAGTTTGGCTTACCCAGGTACTGCATGCATTAGCGGGTGGACAACTGCGTGTTCCACGGATGTCACGGAGACAAGTGGAAACACGCATGCACAAACTTGGTGCTGCCCCTCTGGCTGGGGCTGTCTCAGTGCTTCGAATGGTGGCATCCCTCACCGGGAATGTACAAGCCTCCTGAGTACTCCGACTGAAGTGTGGATCAACAACGTTGTAACTACGAGAGAAAGTGAAAGCACCATTACGACATCTTGGACGAAAGTCTCTCTCTCCAACCTGCCCAGAGGGGGCCCAATCATTATCAATCATCCTGTGTTTCCACTTTACGGCAAAGTTCCGCCTCGTCAGCTTGAAGGTGCCAGAGAGACCTCGTTATCTGGAGGGGCAATTGCTGGTATTGTAGTTGGAATCGTGGTTTTACTCATGGCTCTCATTGGTTGTAGCTGGTTTATATGTCTTAAGAAGAGAAAGCAAGAACGGGGAACCCGCCTGCTACAGAGAGACACTGCCGTTGGGAGGGGAGAGCACTCTTTTGTGAGGGAAAACCATGACTCGAAAACGAAGTCACCAAATCATGATCGAGACGCTCAAGAGATGTGTACATTAAGGCCATCTGCGGTAGAGCTCTCGTCCCATAGCCGAGCTGCTGAGGTCGAGGGAGATAGTCGCCCAGTTGAACTGGAATCTTAGGTAAACATTAGTAAAAGGAGCAACGAGAGCAAATTCGAACAAAAAAAGGCTACGTACTACCCCTAAGTCAAGGTCCATTACCGGGCGAGGAAACGTGTTCTGATATTCGACGCAGAATTTAATCCTGTTTTCCGGATTATTTTAGCCCTTATGTGCGTGAAAAGCTCAGCAATTGCAAGTAAATCTTTCCTCCATGATTGTTTGGTAGGGTATACTTGCATACACGTATTTTCTGAGGTAAGTCATCGCAGAGTATCCTATAGATATATCCAGGATCTTCGACCTAGTATCTGCGTCATCCTTCTGATAGACACAGGCCTCGAACGGCTACCCCAAAACATTACATAGTTGGAACGCGACGCTGCAAACTTGTATATGCTTTGATGACCAGTTATGTCAAAGTTGGATTGGAATCACGCCTACAGCATGCATGGAATCGGACAACAGCGTGACCAATGCCTTCCGCAAATCATTGAAAGCTTGTTGACAAAGAAGCCATTTGTTCAAAGTTGAGCAAACATCGCCGGGTTCCCTGTATTAAGACGTGAAGACGAATGCTCGCAGGGGCAGAGCCCGTGACGTAATGTGGAGCTTGAATACAGGATCAGAAGAAGACGCATGCTTCATTTGACAATCTTCAT